AAGAAGCTTTGTTGTCATCTAGCTTCCCTCACTCCCCCTGACTGACAGCAGAACTTCCTTGTGGTCTGTAACTGAAAAGGATGTTTGTGTTCTTTCTGGCTGGTGGTTTTCCACAGAAGCAGTAGAGGTATAAAAGGCTTTAGCTCAGGGGAAAAATAAAAGTTGCTGTTCTTCCACCTGAAAAGAAGCCTCAGTGTCTCAATCCCAGCACCTGCTCCCCGCCAGTCTCAGCATCCAAGCTGCCCTGGTGCAGCAAAGCTTCTTTTTGCAGCAGACAGAGACCATTACAAAAAGTCACAACCAATCAAAATGTAGAGAACAACTGACTTTGTGGTGTCTAGAACCAATAGACAAATCTACAACAGCATTCCTGAATGTAAAGCTCAGCAAACATCAAGGAAGAGGGAGCAGAAAGATCATAATAGTAATAGGAAGTCTGCTGTGAGATTGCCTCTTAGAAATGGCAGGGGAGCTATACTCATGATCAACAATACTGCTGCCCAAATCTGAACAGGGTCAACCCCAATAGACATGCTAATATATAAGGAGGAAATCTCAAGGGGTCCCACCCCTATATGAAGAACCACATGTAACTAATGACTACTGAGAGGAGAAAAAATAACCTCTCCCAGGGATGAGTCCCCTATTTCACTATTCAATACAAAGTGGTCAGTCCTGAAATAATGTACATAAGTCACACTAAATAGAAAAATAGGTTGTATTTGCACTTATGTATGTACATATGGAATAGTAATCAAAATTATGATCAAAAAAGGCAAAAAAATGATAACAAGTGATGGGGAAAAAGAAGAGGTGATGAAGGGAGGGACAAGGAGGGTGTAGTGATTTAAAATTTTGAAGGAAAATGTAGCATCTGGACTTCATCAGTTTTAGAGCACTTGCCTAACATGCACAAGATTCTGGGTAAAGCCCCATCACGACTACCAAATATATATAATAAATAAAGTGCTTCAGGTTTTGAACCCCAGTAGGTAAAACAGCCTTAAAGAAGGGCCGGCAAGGAGAAAGTTGTAAATATTTCTGTTCACTTCTAGTTATGACAACAGCTTGCTTTATGTTTCATTTTTACTGGCCTTTTTCTAATCTAGTAGGGTTTTCCAAAGAACACTTCATACAAACACAACTTCATATGAGTCATGCCATGTTCATTCAGTAACTTCTAAATATGAGACCCCTATCTGCTGAATTAGTGAAACTCAAAATATATTTGATTTCTATTGCTCATTAAAAAGAAGCAGTAACATTAAAAGATAGTGGGAGAATGATGTTTGGTTCACAAAGATAATGTTGGGGAAGCCTAATTATAATGTCTAAAGGTAATTGTAGAATATACAATGCTATTAAGAGTGGACTCTTGGAATTTCCCTAATACCAGGTTTCTCCCTGGCCCACAATGACTCTTTCTTCTAAGATCTCTCTTTCATTGCTCTCCTACTCTGTCAGTCTCCCCCCACCACCGACCATCCCAAACCCTCATGTTTTGATCTCCCATTCCCTCCCCTTTAGCACCTACTCTTACCAATTTTACCCAGGCAATCTCATCTAATTCCCCCTCTCCAGCATGATTCATGTGTCCCTCTTAAGATCCTACTTCTTACTAGCTTCTCTAGAGCTGTGGATTATAGTCTGGTTACTCTTTACCTTATATCTAGTATCCACTTATAAGTAAGTATATACCATGTTTGTCTTTCTGAGTCTGGGTTACCTCAATCATGATGCTTTTCCTAGTTCCATCCATTTGTCTGTAAATTTCAAGATGTCATTTTTTTCTGCTGTGTAGTACTCCATTGTGTAAATGTACCACATTTTCTTTATCCAATCTTCAGTTGAGGGGCATCTAGGTTGTTTCCAGGTTCTGGCTACTACGAATAATGGAGGTGAAGATCATGATGGAAAAATCTATAGAAACAGCTGAATCAAGCTCATGGAAACTCAAGAACTCTAGACTGAAAGTTGTGGAGTCTCCATGGGCCCAAACTAGGCCCTCCATATGTGAGAGACAGTGGTGAAGCTTGGGCTATTTGAGAGGCCCCTGGCAGTAGGACCAGGATCTATCCCTGGTGCATGAGCTAGCTTGTTGGAGCCCATTCTCTATGGTGGGATGCCATGCTCAGCCTTAATGCAGGGGGAAGGGACTTGGTCCTGTCCCAACTTAATGTGCCAGACTTTGATGACTCCCATGTCCCATGGGAGCCCTTACCCACTGGGAGGAATAGCTGTGGGGTGGGCTGAAGTGGACACAAAGGGGAGTGGGAGGATGGGGGGAGGAACTGTGGTGGGAACATAAAATTAAACAAATAAGTGAGTATAAATTAATTAATTAATAAAATAGGGTGGACTCTGAGGACTGAAGAGATGTTGTGGTGATTAAGAGTAGAGCACCGGACAGAAATCTCAAGGTCCAAATCAGGAGCAGAAGGAGAGGGAACACGAGCAAGGAACTCAGGACCGCGAGGGGTGCACCCACACACTGAGACAATGGAGATGTTCTATCGGGAACTCACCAAGGCCAGCTGGCCTGGGTCTGAAAAACCTGGGATAAAACCGGACTCGCTGAACATAGCGGACAATGAGGACTACTGAGAACTCAAGAACAGTGGCAATGGGTTTTTGATCCTACTGCATGTACTGGCTTTGTGGGAGCCTAGGCTGTTTGGATGCTCACCTTACTAGACCTAGATGGAGGTGGGTGGTCCTTGGACTTCCCACAGGGCAGGGAACCCTGATGACTCTTTGGGCTGATGAAGGAGGGGGACTTGACTGGGGGAGGGGGAGGGAAATGGGAGGCGGTGGCGGGGAAGAGACAGAAATCTTTAATAAATAAATAAATAAAAATTAAAAAAAAGAACAAGGTATTACATGGTGCACACACTCCCATGTAAACAAAACATTCATATGTATAAAGTAAATAAATCTTTAGAAAAATAAAAAAAAGAGTACTTACTGCTCTTCCAAAGGATTTGGGTTTAGTTACCAGCACCCATATTAGGTGGCTCACAAACATCTGAAATTCCAGTTACAGGGATCTAACACTCTCTTCTGCCCTCCACAAGCATCTGTATACATACACACACACACACAGACACACACACACACACACACACACGGGGGAGTGGAGGGAGGGAGAAGAGAGAGAGGAGAAAGGGAAATCTGAACAAAACAATGGATTGTAATAGATAAATTCTCTTGGACTATATAAGACAACTTTGCCCCTCTAAAACAGCATATATAAGACCTGATGATTATAAAAACATATAAAGCAATCTCATTTCCACACAAAGAAAAACTTAGAAAACTAGGGAGTGAACAAGTAAAATATACTTGTGATCATTTTCTGATATAATATTTTTATCTGCACTGCTCTTTGAAATACACATTTGCTATTCTCACTCATCATCAATATTAGTAGCAACTCATAAAACTTCGTGTTCTCATTGGCACTACTGGAAAACAAAAATAGAAATGCAGAAATAAAAATAAATGAAATAAATTGAGTTGTTAAGGTAAATTAATAGAGCCTTCTGTTTTAACAGATTAAGCTAGCAAAAATGAATAAATTCAAATATCACAATTAGCATAAGTGAATAAAGAGAAAACAGATATTACAATTGTTTTTTTCAAAGACTACCCCTAGACAAATTATTAAGGCAATTAAGCTATAAAGAAAAGCAAACTCTGTATTTCAAGTGAAAATAATCTCAATGTTACAGGATATATGTATGTAATTTTGCATATATTCACAATTAAACTAGCATTATTCACTGCCTTTGTGACTAAGACCAAAGGAGAAACCACCCGAGAAAAATTTAAAAGGAAAAGCAACAGTAAGTGGGAGAATAAGAGAAAACATATTTACAAAGCCAACTTTTGGTTCTGACAATCTTAGAGCAAGAGAGCGAAATTGTCCACTAGTGCTAATGTGACAATACACATGCATTCACACACTCACTTTCTAGCATACAGGTCAGATTCTCCAAGTGCTATAAATTCAGTTATGAGCAAATTTAGAAGCAAGTTTGTGCCTTCCTCCTCAGCACTTACATGGGAGAAAAAGATGAGTTAGAAACACATCAAACTACAAACAAGTCACTCTTGAAAGAATAGAACCCACCATCAACTTATTCACATTATTAGGTTAAAAAAATCAAACTATGAATTTAATTTAAAATGACTACAAAATGTGTTCCAGGTGGCATGCAAGAGTAAACAGCAATCATCTCTGGAAGATGGCATCTTCATACAGAGCTTTGAGGAATTCTAAGAAATACCTTCAGAGGCATTGATTTGTTCTCAAACATAAGCACACATGAGGAATCTAGATACTATGAAAAAGAAGCAACAAAAAGTGCTAGAATTATGAGCAGAAAATAAACAGCTCATAATTCAGAATTTGGATTCATCATTATCCATAGTATAAAGGGTTTATGATCTCCACAAAAGTGGCATTATAAACAATAAACTACATGACTTAAAAGCACAGCTTCTAGAAATAAAGACTTTGAACAGTGAAGCATATGTATTACTAAATGTGTACTGGATGAGGAGAAGAAAAACAACAAACTGAAAAATGTTAATCCAACTAAAGCAAAAAAAAAAGATTAATGTACCTTAAATAAAAGTCTGAAAAAGAATTCAAATCTAGATTTATCAACAAAAAGTTTACATGTAAATAAACTGAATGTTCATTTAAAATAATAATGTTATCAGACTTGGTTAAAATTACCAAATAACAAGGGAAACAGAGCCCAAACTGGACATCTCTTGTCACCAAATGAAGTTTCCAGTACTGGGACTGGGTTACATCTAATTGAGCTGCTGGGTTACATGTAATTGGTCAATGGCTCCCCCATGGAAACACCCAAACAATGCAAGCTATTACAAAGACAACTGTTGGTGGTGTCTCATAAACTAATAAGACCCTATTGCTGAAGACAACGCCTACAACTCAGTGAACACAGAGAAGTTGAGCTGGAGCTTACCTAGAGGCTTCATCAGTACTGAGTTTGTGGTACAGGAAGGTACTCTGCACACTACCAGAGGAGAAGGGCAAACACCAACCCAGCTACAAACTCTTTCATCTACAGTGCCTACTGTAACATATGCTGGTACAACAGTGACACAAAGCTTCTGGCAGTAATCAACGAATATCTGGTTGGATTTAAGGCCCACTCCATCAGATGGAATTCATCACTGACATTGCTCCTGTGATGAAGAATATAAGACTAGTTAGGCCATATACCTGGTGGAAATCTACAAGGAGTAATCTGCCTGCAAGATACATTGGTGCAAGAGTGGTACAAATCTGTGGGAGTAACCAACCAATATCTGATTTGACTTAAGGTCTATTATGAGATGGAACCCATACCCAGTACTGTTTGAATGGGCAAGAACCTGAAAGGAGATAGGCCAGGTACCTAGGGAAAAAATAAATACTGTTGTTATGACAAAGGGATGCAGCAATAAATGTATCCTAATGACATTCTGCTACACTCATAGGTCTGTGCCTTGCTCAGCCATCATCACAGAAGCTCCCTCTGTAGTAAAGGGAAGCAAATATAGAGATGCACAATCACACAATATACAGACAGTGAGATATCTTGGAACACTCAGCCCCGAAAGGAATATCTCCACTAAATTCATCCCCTCAGGGCTCAGGGAACTCTACAGAAGAGGAGGAGGAATGGGTGTAAGAGCCTGAGGGCATGGAGAACACCAAGGAATCCATGACTTCTACACAAACAAGGTTGACACACATATGAACTCATGGAGATTGTGGCAGTATGCACAGGGCCTGCATGGGTTTGCAACACATAGGGACCGAGAGCTAAAAGAAGCAGACACACACACTAACCCAGAATCTAACTTCAATTGATAGTCACTTATAAATAAAAAACTATTTTTCTACACCCATTGAGTACTCAAACTACTCTTAAGGGTAGGCTGCATGCCCAGCAGTAGATAACCAACAATAAATAAACTCAGTGGCATCTCTGGAGGTTCTTTATCTCATAATGCTAAGTCATGAGTTATTTATTTATTTATTTATTTATTTATTTATTTATTACGTATCTACTTATTTAATTTACCTTACATGTTCCTTAAGTATGTATTATGGCTTCCAATTTTGAGTTTCTATGAGATTCCTATGTGTGCAAATCCATGTGTCTCTGCATCTGTATGCATTGCTTGTGCTTTTCCAATGACTCTCCTTGTTTTGTAATACACTGATTTGTTTTTTATTTATTTTTATTATTATTCTTTGATGCTCATTTGTTTTATAACAAGAGACAGAAAGGGTGTGGATCCAGATGGAAGAGAAGACTGTGTTGTATGAAAAAGATCTATGTTCAATAAAAGAAAAAATAGCAAAAACTAAAGCAACTTCATACTATTTTAAAAAATCAAATCCAAAATTAAGAAAATAATTATTTTTTAAAGTTAAAAATATGTGTAAATATGAACCAAAATATTCTAATATACCTATTTTATTAAAGAAAGAATAGAAAAATTAAAGAAATGTATGCAAATACAGAAGAGTTGATTGTGATTGATTAACACACCAGATCCAATGATAATCTATAAGCCACTGTATTCACTGATATCAAGACATATGTATTTTCCTTCACTATTCACTATGCATATTTTGAAAACTGAGAGGCTATAACGCATTTTAGAACAAATGAAAACTGCCTTGAGATTCCATCTTATCCCACCAGTTTTCTGCTCTCAGGATGTTCTGCTGAAGCAGAAGAAGCAACCATAGGATGAAAACTTTGAAAAACTTTGAGTTAAAGATAAGTATTTCCTTCTTTAAATGATCCTTCCAGTTATTTGGCCATAGTGACACAAAAGTAACTAAACCAAATAGTATTAAAGTTTGGATGCCTTTAAGCCAATGATCCATTTGGAGTTGACTTTTGTACATAGTAAAAAACAAGAATCCAATGTCTTTCTTCTGGATGGAGGTATCCAGATTTGTGAATATTATGTATCAAAGGCACTGTTACTTCTTATCTTAGTTACCTTTCTATTGCTTTCAAAGGCAGTATGAGCATTACAACTTCTAGAAGAAAGAGTTGTTTTGAGGGTTGGAATTCAGAGTGTTAAGAGTCCATGAGCATCATGTCAGAGAGCTGGCAGCATGGTGCTGAAATAATAGCTGAAAGCTCAAATTTTGAGACAACAACCATGAGGCAGAGAGGGGAATCTAACAGATAAATAAAAGTCTTTTGAAACATCAAAACTCACTTCCAGTGTTACACACCCTTCAGTAAGGCCACACCTCCCAATACTTTACAAACAAATCTACCAAATGGGGGCCAACTATTCAAACATATGAGCCTATTGGGATCATTCTCACTCAAACCGCCAGATATTTTCATACATTCTAGTTTCTTGTGGTTTCAGTATAAACTGTCTCTTAAAGGCTTATGAATGGAAAGCTTGGTCCCAAGCTGGTAGATTCCATATTTAAGAGATGGTTAGATTAGCATAATTTTGATCTAATAAATTGGTCAATCTATCAGTCAATTCACAATTGAATGTATGGTAATAACTTTTAGAAGAAGAAAGTCACACCTCTGAAAATAATTTATTGTCACAAATCCCTTCACTTTTATATAACTTGCTAGCTACCATATGGTAATAATTTTTGTATCATCTAGCCCTGTTCACCACAATGTTTGGCTTCACTTCAGTACCACAAAAATGGAATGAGCCAACCATGAACTAAAATCTTGAAACTATGACCCAAAACAAAATTTTCCTCCCTAATTGTTTATGGCAAAAAAAAAAACTCTTGTCATAAAGTAACAGATGGTTACTTTTGACATATTACCTTTGTCAAAAATCAATTGACTCTGAATGCACAAGTTAAAGTTCTCTTTTATCCCAATATAACTAATGTAAGACCTTCAGTTTGGTCCTTCCTTCTCAAAATTGTTTCAGCTATTTGGAGTCTTTTGTGGTCCCATGAAAATATAGGAATAATTTTTATATTACAATGATTAAAAAAGCTAGATAGGAACATTATAAGAAAAGAAAATCAGAGGTCATTCTTTTCTGATAAACAAATACAAAATCCTCAACTAGCCAAATTCAAACACATAAAAAACGTCATTCACCTTGATCAAAGGATCTCTGGGATACAAAGATGTGTACAGAATCTCACAGGCCAGCGAACCATGCTTTCACAGTGGCAAACAAGAGAGACTGTCTCAAGTCGACAAGACTTTACTTAGCAAGTAAAGGTGCTATTATGTGGTCCTGGCAATCTGAGATTAAGCCCTAGAACCCTCGTAAAGGTAGAAGGAGAGAACCAATTAGACAAAGGTGTCTTCTGACCTCCACACACACACACACACACACACACACACACACACAATGCACGCACACAAACACACAAATAAATTAATTAATAAAAAAGAAGCTATGTGTCATCTCAAACATCCACATGCATGCTATGCACATGTTCATACATATACAAGCAAATGAAACATGATTAATATAAACTCGGACAGATATTGAGGTTCATCCTGAAGATCTGAAAAGCAAAGCAGCCAGCCACTGGCACTCACCTCTGAAAATGGCAATCCTGCATCCAAGAATCTCAGAATAAGACTAAGAGTGAGAGGTGTCTCCTCCCATTTTATAATCTCTCTAGTTTGGGGATTAAAGGCATGTGTCACTGGGATTAAAGACGTGCACCACTATTACCCAGTTTCAATGGCAAACTAGTGTGGCTACTGGGATTGAAGGTGTGTGTTACCACTGCCTGAGCTGTAAAGCTGGCCAGTGTGACTGTATTACTTTCTAAACTTCAGGCAAGCTTTATTTAGTAAAATAAAATTAAATGTCACTACAAACAAATACACACACATACCTATATACATACATACATACAAACATTACATTTCAAAATTAGAAAAAAACTAATGTACATTTGATCACACATGTAATAAATTCATTTAAGAAAATAAATAAGAATCAGGATAATGGCTGCTTCTAGCAAAGAACTGAGATCAGAGATGGGCTTATAAACTTCACAAATTTTTAGATCTTGACCTGTATGGTGGTTGAACAGATGCACAATTAATCACTATTAAACAATGTGCATCTTTATATAACTGTCAATATGTGCTGCATTTTATATTTTAAAACTCAGAACAGAAAAATAAGCCCCATGATCACGGAGTGCTAAATATCGAAGATTGATTACATCAATGCATTTCTTTAAAAGACATTCTTAAGATTGAAAACTGCAATAAAAGCAATGAGACATCACTACAACTATTAAGTGAAGTAATTTTTTTATCACAAGTAAGACATATTTTCAGTGAAAGAAATTAAGAGACTTCACCAAAGTAACAATACTAGTAGAAACAGAGAATGGAATTAAACACCCAGTTTCCCAAAGAGATGATTATAGTACAGGGACATCGATCAACATGAGTGGTCACTTCTACATGATGTTCCCAACAGGCTCATATACTTGAACACATGGTCACCAAATGGAGGCACTATGTGGGAAAAGTTTAAGACCTGACTTGTAGAAGTCAATCACTGGGGTTAGCCTGGGAGAGTTATATGTGGGCCCTGTTCCTGGTAGGTTCACTCTGCTTCTTGGTCTGCCAAAATGAGAGCAAACTACTCTATAAATTCCCTTAACTACACACTAGTTTCCTCCAGCTGCCATCTTTTCCTCACCAAGATAAACTAACTGTACTTCAGAAACTGGAAGCCAAGCAAACATCCGCTTGCTTAAGTTGCTTTTGTTTGGGTATTTTGCCATAGTGACTAGAAAAGGAGCAAGTTCAATCATAATACATGATCAAGAAATCATAATAGAATAATAATATACTGGTCCAGGAACAAAGGATATAGTGGGAAACACAATGGCATATGATCAGATGTCCATGTGCAAGAGAAACAGTGTGAGTTACTGTTTTTTATTACAAAACACACAAACATACCTTTAAACACATGATAGGTAAGAAATG